TTCACAGCCGCTGCGACCGATTGCGCAGCCCAGCCGGAGGCCCGCCCCACCCGCCCCTACGCTCTTCAGGGGCGCTCTTCCGGGCCGGAAACCCGCTGAGAGAGCGAGGTCGCGCGCGCGTTCGGAAGCGCGCACCTCGATTGGGCAGGTCCAGGAGCCACCCCGGCCGCGTCCCCGCCCGCCGCCCATTCCCGCGCAGACACCCGAACCACGACCACAGAGTCTCGCTGCGGGCGGCGCCTAGAGCGGCTCCTGCCAAGGCCTCCCAGACCTGGTGGTTGCTGACTCAGGGAAATGGAACTGAGTTGCTGTCGTGGCCGGAGGCTGCAGTTTGGAGAGCAGCCCGCAGGCGTGGCGCTTGAGGACTCCTCACTGCAATGGAAGTTCATTTCCTTTTGATTTGCTTGTGTGGAAGTCATGTCATTTCCTCCCTGAGAATATAGCCCTGATGGATATTTTAGATCGTTTACCTAAAGCAAAGATCCCTAGGCCAACAGAGGGAACCCTTTTTGCTAACCTCTCAAGGCTGTCCGAGGTATTTCAAGGAATGAAGAAAGGATAAAACAATTTATTTCATTATCTCATACTAAGACAAGCAAGAAGAGGATAGTAAAATTTGACATGTGTATAATGTAGAACGTCCTTTTTCATTCGCTATCTCACTTCATTCTGACCACAACTATCAAATAGAAGTAGATTTTACAGAGAAATTGAAGCTCTGCTACGTTCAATGACGTGGCTAGGTTTCTACAGCTCATATAAGGTAGGGACTAATTGAAACCAGTCCTTTGATTCTAAATTCTAAACTCCACTATCACAAAAGAACCACTTTCGTTGTGATTATGCCCCAAATCATTCTATTTTAAATGGGTAGAGGGGTCTTCTTACACAATTGGATGTTCTTTTATTTATGACTGAGAGATGTGTATTGACTCCAAGAAGTAACAATGATGACCTTGATATCACGTGTCCTCTATTATAGTGCTTACTACACCCGATTCTTTGTCCACTTTTCACCCGATTGCAAGGTCCTGGAGGCCAGGGGCTAATTCATAATCATTTTTGTATCCCTCGCTCCTGGCCTGGGGGACACTCAGAATCTAGCTCAGAATCTACCAAGTGAGTTAATCCGGGAGAAAAAGCGTGGCACTTTGATTTGAACCCATCCAATTTTCTCCCGTGAATACCCTCTCCCCATTTTGAAATTTATATCCTGAGGCTCTTGAAAACCGCGAACTGAAAAACCACGGACTTCAAAGTGTGGAAAGGCAGGCTGGAAAGAATGAAATTCTGGCAGGCAGCTCACCCCATGGCTCTGTGTTTGACAAAACCACGGAGTCTCCAACGCTGCTCTAAGGCCCAGATGTCCTACGTGGACGGAGACTTCTGGCTTCCCAGACCCGGATATGAGCTTTTCTCAACCATTCGTTTATTCTTTGAACATACCCTCCAGACAATTGCATCTCTATCCTGTAAAGCCCTTGCTGCAATTTTGTTTCTCTTTCTAAATGTTATCGTTAGAAAACTCCCAAGGAAATAGCAGGAAGGCAGTTCCCTCCTTCTTGAGGTATCTGGGGGAGCAGCGGCTTAGTGTTCATGTCTCGGGTCACCAAAGGGCCAGTTGTTAGACAGCAGAGCCGAGGGCCGGTGCTCCCGCTTTCGCTGAGCTCAGCAGCCCCGTCTTCCCCAGAGCTACCGCAGCGGGGAGCTTTCAGAGCGTGGCCACCCCACCTTCCAACGCCAGCACCCTGTGGTTCCTAATTCCTGCAGCCCCGAAAACGACTCCCTTTTTGCATTAAAAAAACTCAGACCTAGAGGAAAGTCATCTTGGCAAGGTCATTTTCATAAAACGCCCCAAATCCCAAACACCCCAAACCAGTATCCACCCATCCGCCCCTTCCTTTTTGCAGTGCGGACAACAATGGAGGACTACAACTCCCAGAGAGGACTGCGCTCGTTCGCCCGAGCAGAGGCCAATGGACGGCGGCTGCCTGACCGGCGTCGACTAATCAGGGCCCGCCTCGCGGAGGCTTTGTCTCGGAGCGCGGCGCGGCCAGCTCCCGCCCCCGCCGGCGCACGCGCCCCGCCCCGCCCTCGCTGCTTCGCCCGCGCCCCGCGCTCGCCTTTCTGCCTCTCGCAGCCTGCCAGCCGCGGCGTGCGGACTCGCTGCTCCAGCCTCCGGCCACGTCCCATCCTACCGCCTTGAGCAGCGGAGAAAAGATTAGAGATTTTCTTGCCCCATACACACTTTTGAAGCGGGCAAAATTTTAAAATTTGAACCATGAGGGAAATCGTGCACATCCAGGCGGGTCAGTGTGGCAACCAGATTGGTGCCAAGGTAAGGATTTTAAACCTCTTTTTACTCTATTTCTTTTAGAGAAGAAAAGAATCCAGATAAACTATGCAGAGTGGTTGTGGGCTGTTTGCCGTCTCCAGCCTTAGCCAACCTTTGCCAAAAGGAAATTTTATATGTATAATACACATTTGCAGTAGAATTTTCTTTTGGAAAAAGGGGAATTTTTTTTTTTTTGCAGAATCATTTTGGGGAAGCTATCAAAAGCACCCTTGAGGTTTGAGGGCCTGGAAGACCGAGGTTCTGTAAGGTTTTACTTAAAGGGAATCTCCTAACGGTCCGAGGGTCGGGGAGGGAAGGAGATGCGGAAACTGGCCGAGACAAAGCGAGGCGAGGTTCCTCCATGTGCATCCCCCTTGGCGGGGTTTCGCAGGCCAAGCCCGAGGTGAAAGGGGCGAGGATGGGGGGACACCTGCAGACCCCGGTTCCCAAGCTGGGGACGCGTTACCTCCACGAAAGACCAGGGGTCTCGGCGCGCCCCTGATTCCCGCGGGGCAGGCCCGTAGTTTTTCGTGGATGGAAGGCTAATATGAGCTGGATTCATTTTGCTTCCTTTATTTCCGCTTAGAGACCCTTTTAGGGCTTGAACAGATAAGGTGAAAAGGAGGGCTTCCTTTTCTTTAAAGGGTCCCCTCAGGACTAAATTGTGGGAGAAAGCAAGACAATCCTCCTTTAAAGCAAGAGGAGGGGAAGTTAGCCAAGGGATACAATTCCGAGGCCAAGGGGGTATTTCTTTCTTTCCTTTTGCGCGCGGCTACAGTGTAGCGGGGGAGAAAGTGCGGCCGCTATCGGCCGCTACATTGTACCAAAAGGGCTGGGCTCAGGGGCGGGCGCTGTGCCCCGCGGGCCGCCAGGGGGCGCGCTAGCTCAGGGCAGGCCCCGCCCCTCGCGCGCTGAATTCGCGCCTCGGCCCCGCCCACGCGCGACGCCTCCCTTTGTCAGCAGCTTGGCGTGCGCTACCGCCGGGCGGAGGGCGGGGGTCGGTCACTGCGGCAGCTGGTTTCTCTGGCCCTCTGTGCGCGGCTTGCATGCCCTGCGTGGGGGCGAGGGGTGAGCTTACCTAGTTAGGTTAGCCACCTGCGTCCACCCCATCTGTGTCTGCGATCGCCGGTCCCCGCGGCTGGACATCATTTCACATCGCAAGGCGGCTTTCCCGTGGGTGGAGGTGTCAGAGGGAGGGGCGCGCAGGCAGATGGAGGGGATGCCTGCACAGTGTGTTTGGAATTAAAGTGGTGGAAGCAGGGGCATAATTGAGGGTTCACCGTTCTTTCCTGACAGTTCTGGGAGGTGATCAGTGATGAACATGGCATCGACCCCACCGGCACCTACCATGGGGACAGCGACCTGCAGCTGGACCGCATCTCCGTGTATTACAATGAAGCCACAGGTGAGGGGAGGAGCCGGGAAGATCAGGCGCCATCTCCTCCTCCTGGCGTCTCTTTCCATTCCTAGGGAACCCTTAACTCCTTTGAATGAATCTATCCTTTTCCTTTGTAAACCTTCCTCTGTGTAATTTCTCACCATGGGGATCAAAGACTCTGCTGTCACTTAGTAGCAGCCCCTGGAATCGCACGTTTGGGTCCCTGGCTGTCATCCAGCCCCAATTTATTTACCTTCTGCCAATGTTCATTCCTCTACTTTTCTTCCCTGCAGGTGGGAAATATGTCCCTCGTGCTATCTTGGTGGATCTAGAACCAGGTACCATGGACTCTGTTCGCTCTGGTCCTTTTGGCCAGATCTTCAGACCAGACAACTTCGTTTTTGGTAAGTTATACAGATACATGCAGATGGCATCATATTCCATTTATTTGGGTGCAAGAGGGCAGGAAGAGTTAGGAAATGATTATTGTGCTGGAGAGCTTTTATAGGGCCATGTTCTGAGAGCTAATGGAGGGTGGGGGGTGGCTGCCGCACTTGGTAAACTACTAGGGACATATGTCACAGGTGAGGGAGAAAAAAATAGTCCCAGAGGCATTATCCCAAGAGGTGCGAGGTGAAGATGTGATGTGCATGTACTGCACTTTACTAATCAAGCTTGCCTCCCGGCCCCATTCCAGGTCAGTCTGGGGCTGGGAACAACTGGGCCAAGGGCCACTATACAGAGGGGGCTGAGCTGGTCGACTCGGTCCTGGACGTGGTGCGGAAGGAGGCTGAGAGCTGCGACTGCCTGCAGGGCTTCCAGCTGACCCACTCGCTGGGCGGGGGCACAGGCTCTGGGATGCGCTCCTTGCTCATCA